AAAAAAAGTTTTACCCCCGTTTACTCTGTTGTTCCAAAAATGTCCGTTGCGTATTTAGTTATACCCGATGAATTGTGGGTAACTTCTGTACAGTCTGGGAAAACCAACTTTCATTTTTGCATCAAAAGCTAATGTGGAAAATGCATTTTCTAGCATAATTGTTTGTTAGAGGGTTGGTTAAAGTGTAAGTTATTGTTATTTTAGTCATAATATTGTGATTTGTGGGGAAATTTGTATACATTTTTTTTGGACACCAAATTACCCGTCAGACCTCAGTGTAGCCCCTTTAAGTATTTGTTACAAAAAATTCTTATAAGAAAAAAGGAACAATATACACAGCTTGTTCACAAAAACCATACCATTGATCCTTGACTATTCTTGAAGCTTGAACATAAAAAAATAGGTCATATCTCCGTAAAATAATATCTCGAGAGTTATGGGACCTTTGCCCATCATGTAAGCTAATGACGGAGAACAAGTGTGCAAAAACTTACCATTCCTTTCATAAGATACCAACTTGCACACAAAAACTTTACCGAACTTAACAAAGTGTGATGTTGTCAGCTTCATACAATAGTTAACTCAATTATTTGAGTAGCAGTTAAAAACCACACTTTCTAATGTGATAAATATGAGGAAAAATCATGATAATGAATATATATATATAATATATGAGCTGCATCACGGCAAAACTAACATAGTGGGTTTGCGACCAGCATGGATCCAGACCAGCCTGGGCATCCGCGCAGTCTGATCAGGATCTATGCTGTTCACTTACCAACTCTATTACAAAAAAGAGGAACTGATAGCGAACAGCATGGATCCTGATCAGGCTGCGCAGATGCAGCAGGCTGGTCTGGATCCATGCTGGTCGCAAACGCACTAAGTTGGTTTTGTCATGACGCGGCTCATATGTAATGAATATATAAAGCACTCACATCATCATTTTTGAGCAGAACTCTCCCACATCTAATACAGCTATCATTGAACACATTCTCATCTATGCTCAGTTCAGGTCTGAAATTAATTACAAGATTTATAAGATAAAACTGTCCATCACAACATTTCATCTATATTAATTTTATAAAGTGCTGAATATTCAATAAGTAGTTTACTAATTATCAATTGATTGACAGGCACCATCTGAATTTCCAATATCAATCTTTTATCAAACAATTTTATCGAAATTTGACTTATTTAAAAGGTGACTTGTCACAAACTATATACCAGCCCTAAAGACAATGACATTCTCTATCAGTCTATGACTCAGCTGTATTTTTTTTATAATTAGTAAACTAAATGTTAAGCACTTTAATGCCTTTTTAACTAACGAAAATTTTAACATAGCTCTGAACAAGTCAAATTTTGACATTTCTTTAGCTAACGAAAATGTTAAAATTTAACAACAGCTAAGTTGATTTGTCGTTAAAGTTAACAAAAGTTTTGAACAACTGGGCCAATGCTACTTTTTTATCTCAGTTTTCTACTTACTTTATCTGAAAGATCCTGTAAATCAAAGGTGGTAAAGAGTGAAAAGAGTTTGATCAATTTTATCAACTTATTACATATGCAGATAAAAACTTTTTTTCCCTATGATAACAAAGAAAACTGTTCTAAGAAAGAAACAGGCAAGCTGTTAGAGATGTATTATAAGTGATGTAAAATTAATTACCCCTTGTCTAAGCCTTGTTCTACAGACAGCATTCTCTTCCATCCATACAGGAACATAGGATTTAAACAACCTGACGTGTACAAAAAAAGATAGATATAAGGTTTAATTGTCAGCAATCAGAACCATTTGGCCAATTCTTTGGCTCAATGGTCTACAGTGATGTATTTATTTGCTCATTAGCCAGTGGTCATGAGTTCGAATCCCACATACCATATTCAGGAACATTTACATCTTGTTGTCAAACATTTGAAGTATTCATGAGAATGTACATCAGAAAATAATGATTGACCAATAAAAAAACTATATTGAGCCAATTTAAATGGCGAAACAATACATGTACATTGTGAATACAAAAAAGTTCATACAACTAATTCAAATTACCCTCTAAAAGACTTAAAGCCATTTGATGAACAAAAGTACAGTACAAGTCTTCAATATCAGACTAATAAAACTGAGAAGACAACAGCAAAAGTTGTATGGAAGTCTGGCTCAATACTAGAGATATGTGCCTGAAATTGTTGGCACTAATGGGAAACTTTAACTTACCAACAGGTAATAATTTATCATTCTCTAGCATCTTTATAGATGTTATATCATTGACTACATGGTACCATCTTATTGCAGCAAACACTTGAAAATACTTCCTCCCTTCATCTCTCTCTAGATAACATTCTGACTTTCCTGTAATACACAATATTTGTTAAATATAAGTGAAATACTTGGGGGAAATAGAGGATACTGAATTAGTGAAGGTTCAATACTTAATTTATTGAACAAGTTGAATAAAATTATATTTTGCGAGCCTCTGGTGTGCAAAATATTATTTTATTCAACAAGTTCAATAAATTCTATAATGAACCTACACAAATATAATATTCTATTTATCACATGCCCCAAATAAAGACTGTTATAAAGTGCAAAAGAATCATTTTTCATTGACGTGCCTATTGTGTGACGCCTACATTTACATAATGAAAATACGTCACATTAAGATATATGCACGGCCATGCAATACTATTTTTACAGAGTCGCAAAATGTGATAAATATTTTATATTTAACCACTGACAACAAATATCTATATTTAAAATGATCTATAAAAAAAGTCAATAATATATCAATAAATCAGTAAGATATGCTTTTGTTTTTAATATAAAACAATGCATTATCTTTACCTTTCATTTCTTTTTTAAAGAAAGCATCAGCATCTTTAAGCAAATTTTTAGTTTCCCCACACCAGTCCTGATTTTGACACAAAAATATCCACTGAAAACAATATCATAATTATGTGACATCAATAAGTCAACAACGATACTCTTATCTTAAACATGGCAATATTATCTTAATATGAGATTCTGAATGTTCAATTTACACAATTGTTTAAATTAAAAATTAAAAGAACTGCAATCAAATGCTGATATAACAATATATGAAGGTAATCTGTAATATTTCGTGTAATAAAGTAAATATTCAAATAGCCAAATGAAACAATATATGGTGAAAATAGTTTGCACTGGAGAATAATATGATTTAATGTATTAGATATTTTGGTTACTTTAAAGTTATCAAAGATAAAGAAACCTTTTTCAGTAGAGTGTAGATATCAATTTCCACCTGCATCACATACAGTTGAGAACAAGATATAATTTCTGTCATCAGCTCTACTCTGTAAAGAATCCAGTCAACATTAAAATAAGTATTCCAGAAAAATGGAGTGAGCCAGGATCTGAAATTTTGCGACCAAGTATTGGTCTAGATCTGCAACAAATGGAACATTAATCTTAAAAAAAAAACTAGTTCCAGTCCTGTCCCGTAAAAAAAACCTCAGTGGAGTCCCTTTAAACTAGTTTTTGTGCTTGATATGTAATCCCTTAATATTGATTTGTTTGGTATAACAAAAAAAAATATCACACTCATCTCAAGGATAAGGTCAACCAAGGCGTTGATATCACTTGTCTTGGGTGAACATTCTGTTCTATCACCCTCACATGTATGTTACATTTATATACTACTGTCCAAGAAATTTGTGAAAAAATTGTGCACCTTCTGTGAAAAGCATGAAACTTGGCATGGTGTCAAGGAATGGTATTTTCAAGTTATTTCAGCCTGGGATCCACTTTTTAAAAATCCAAGATGGCCACCAAAATCCAAGAATGGCCGCCAAAATGTAAAATGTACACAGGTCATGTCAAAAATGAAGTTATTTATGACTAGAAAATGCTATAAATTGACATTATAGGTCAAAAATAGTAATTTCTTGGAAAAATGCTTAAGTAGCATTGGTAGAAAATTCAATATGGCTTCAAAATCCAATATGGCTGCCATTAAATGATGATATTTTGACAAATTTCTATAATAAAGGTAATTTGTATCATCAACACTTTTAATACATTAAACAAACTAAAAAAGTGGTATTCCTGCATAAAACTGCATATACACATGTACATTTACAGAGGAAAAAAACTAGCATTTATGGATAAAACCATGCAAGCACATTATTTAGCTTGATATTTCAAAGACTAGGGAGCAACTGATATTGTACACCAAAGCCGTCAGCTTTACAAGTTTTTCATGCAAGTTGGTTTTGTAAAAAATACATGATGGAATACGTTAAACCCTAATACACTTATTTTTTAGCTTAATATAAGGTCACCGTTAAAGGTCAATAACTCTATCATGGATTTTGACAGAATTATGTCCCTTTTAAATATAGGGATTCTTCATAATCTAGGTTCTTGTTTAGCTATAAGCACCGAGAACAGGCTAACACTTTATGATGTCCTACCAATAGCTCTTTGTCAAGTGCATGATTCCTGATACCATGCAAAGCCGCTGATTTAATAATGATCCCCAGTTACCCCCCCTTGTTATCGAAAACATAACGCACAAAAATTAAAGTTAAAAATCAATATAAAACTAGTTTCTTTATGCGGAAAACAACATATCGTAGAATCAACCGAAACAGAATGACTAATATATATTATTTTTGTGCAACAAAATCTACAGAAATTGAATCCTAAAGCCCATAGAATGAGGGCTCAGAATGCGTCTTCACGTTTCTGTAGATGTTAATGCATGAAAAGTGTGAATTAATCCTCTGTTGTATTGTATATTTTATGCACTCAATTCCTTAGCTTATTTGAACCAAATGTTCAGTATGATTTAATACTAGTTTAGTGTCGAAGACGTAAGGGCTTCTTCTCCTGTCAATTCTTTTTTAATAAATTTAGTTTGCATCATCCTTGTGATCGTCTTACTGCAGCTGTGAGTTCTTTTCATTAGTAATTTAAGCAGCATATATTTGTGTCATAGATAACGGAATGAGGCTCTTATTATGTCATTATTTTGACAAGGTCTTGTGAATAAACAAGAAAAACAGAATGATATTGAACAAAAATATCTAGGGTTTTTCTGTAATCAAAACTTAAGTGTTTTTGAACATTTATTAAGATTAATATTCGTGACTTTATTATGAGATCAAGTTCAGACTTTTTGCAGCTCTTTCTATTTGATAATTTTGATATGAATTCCAATTGTCAGATTGAGATACTACTTACTGCGAATTTCTGGGTCTGCATTCCCGGGGCAACGCTCTTAAATTTCTTGTTAATTTCTCCTTTATATTTTAAAGCAGTTGAAATGCCTGATTAAGCCTTACATAATCATATGTATTTTCTGATATTACAGTATAATAGTTGATTTATAATCTCAGTTGTTTGTTGTTGTTTTTTGTATTTCAAAAACAATGGAAACTCTTTAACAAATTATAAATTGTTTTCTTAGATTAAATAATTTCTGTTTGGTTTCCACAACTGTCATTAAAGGACTGTACACAAGAACTAGTAAAATCATGCCGAATTTAGCTTAACTCATGAGGTTGCCATTTCTTCAGCTTTTTTTATTATTTACTCCTAGAATCACAACAACAATGAACAATTGACCTTAAACTTGACAGACATTCAGTACTAGCTCAATAAGTGTTAATCATAGATAATTGACTAAAGTTTTCTTGTTTATACTGATAAGTATTAGTTGATAACACTTTAAACATTACCTTGCTTAAGTTAGTATAAAAGCAACTGTTGAATTATCATTATTTCTAACATTTTCAGCAATTTACTAGCCTAGTATCCACATTTTTTTAAGAACTGGTCACTTTTGACTCTGAACATAAACTACTTCAGGTAGTCTTGGGTTACGTTTTACTTTTAATTCTTATCAAAATACAAATTACAGAGTCTAGAATTCTCTGAAATTATTATTATGAAGTGTTTTCTTTTTAGGGAAAATTACATAGCTGTTAGTAAAAATATACAAACATTTCTATACCATTCCTTTAGCACTTGCACAATGACCTACATATTATATCATTTGAATAAGGCTCAGCTTAGTTGCTTGAACTTGAAATTACCTAAAATTAGCAAAGAGATTTTTATTCACGAGCAGATAATGAAATTATGAGATACTTTTAACGTCCATTTTTTGTTTTAAATATTCTTTTGTTAAGAGTTTTCGTAAATCAAGTAAAAATAAATCTGAGCAATTTAATTATGAGCATGTTTCAATATGAATCGGATGCTTTAAAACAGTTTCATAACTAAATGGGTTTTTGTCACAAAAACATATGTCTCCCAAAACTATGCATGGTCACTCATGTGAAGTTTCATTGAAATCCCACCAGTAACTTGACCTGTGAAAGATGGACAATATTTTTTTATTTATAGCTCCAACGACCATTTTGTGCAGCGAAGCGAAATGTGCTGGTGATGTGTGTGCACAACTATGGATATTTCTGCTCTCTCCTGTAAAGTTTGGTTGATATTTAACCAGTAGTTTGACCAGTGAAGGCCGGGCAAGATATTTATGTTTTTAGCTCTAGCGGCCATTTTGTGCAGCGAAGCGAAATGTGACGGTGATGTTCACAACTTGGGATGGTACTGATTAGGGGGCCTCCGTGGCCGAGTGGTTAAAGTCGCTGACTTGAGATCACAGGTCCCTCACCGCTGTAGGTTCGATCCTCACTCGGGTCGAAATCTTTCATGTGAGGAAGCCATCCAGCTGGCTTACGGAAGGTCGGTGGTTCTATCCAGGTGCCCGCTCGCGCCTGAAATAATGCCGGAGCACCTGGGGTCTTCCTCCACCAATAAAGCTGGAAAGAAAATGACGAAAAATCTCGGCGGGACTGGTACTGATTACTCCTAAAGTTAAGTTGAAATCCCACCTGTAGTTTGACCTGTTAAGGATGGACAAGCTTAATGCAGACGAACGGAAAGACAGACAGACGGCGAAGGCAAATACAATACGTCTTTTATGCTGGTATGGTTAAAAACATGTAATATAATGTATTTGTGTTATTTTATACTAATTTGAAAATGATTACAGCTGGTAAGTAATATATTCTGAAAAAAAAACTGTAATGACGACAACAGCTGAAAACTACTACATTCTGAAAATTTTAATATGGCGGCCATCTTGGATTTTGGCAGCCATCTTGGATTTGCACAACCTGGATCCGAGGCTTGAATATATATAAATGTGTAATATAATAGAGTGGTGCTATTTCATACTGACCTGTAAAGAATAAAGCTGAAAAACTTTAATATTTTGAAAAATAAAAATAAATGGCGGCCATCTTGGATTTTGGCGGCCATTTTGGATTTGCACAACCTGGATCAGAGGCCTGAAATATAAATTAATCTGTAATATATAAATGAACTGATGCTTTTTTTCTACTATTCTAGGTATGACTACAGCTGAAATACTCAAATATTCTGAAAATTTTAATATATGGCGGCCATCTTGGATTTTGGCGGCCATATTGGATTTTTAAAAAGTGGATCCCAGGCTAAAATGAATTGAAATACCATTTCCTGCCACCATGCCAAGTTTCATGCTTTTCACAAGAGGTGCACAATTCACCCTATTTTATGCACGGATTTCTTGGACTACTGCAAGAATCTTACCCAATATCCCTGATAAATGTAATACTATCAGTGGTCAAAATGTTTCTTGTGAGCCAGTTCAGACATCGGACCCGTAAATCCTCTAAACCATATGTCTGACAATTGTATAATACACACATACTGTACAGGAACTGGGAAATAAAAATAACATGAAAATTTTAAATACTTGTTTTTATCAATTCATGACAATTTGTTGTTTTTTTTTATAGAATTTTTATTAGAAAACAATTCATCAAAGATTTAAAATATATAATTATAGTTTTTGAAATTCTATGTTTCACTGATCTCATTTGATGAAAGTCACTTTTACATGTTTTAAGAATGACCACACAAGAACACACATTTAATTTGATAAGCTTAATTTTTACATTCAGGTAGTAATGCGACAGTTTTGCAAACTTTTCGAGTTTTTGATTCCGTTAGTTTTATTCCAATAGTTTCAGCCAATTTTTGTACACATGACGTCAAAGTTGACCATCAAAGCCAGTAATTTTAACAATGACGTTGTTGCGTATCCTTGGCAACTATTACAGGTATCACAATGCCATTGGCGGACAAAATACCTTAAATCCTACAGCATCCAAAGGAAATTATTTTTATTCTATTGGAATAAAATTAACAGAATCTAATCAGACATATGGTCAACTTTCTGCATGCCAATTTTCAAGACGCTACTCGAAAATTGCAATGTGTCGCGTTCTACCTTAAGTGTCCCCTAATGTTCCCCTAGATTTCATGTCGATGAGACAGCAGTTCTGGTATAAGTGTGCATATCAGCAACCACAACACTGTTGCCAACAGAGGGACGTTGTAGCTGGTGTGGTTTAGGTCTTTGACTTCAAACACTTGCCCTTCACCCCTGATGGTTTGAGTCTTGCTAGGGACTTAGGATTCTTTCATGTGGGGATGAAATCAATCTAGCTCTTGTAATGTCAGTAGTTCTATCAAAGTGCCTGCTTATGCCTTTTTAAAAAATTATTGCACAGAGTGGCACCTGAGAAGGAATCATGAGCTTTTATAGGTCACTACAATGACTTTCCTCTGTTAGAAAATATAAAATAATGAATTCAAGCTGAATATTTATACCTTAATGTTTCCTTCATCATTATACAACATTGCTGTATCAAACAATTCCTGAAACAAAAACTACATTATTAATAACTAATTGGTACAGGTTAATAGTCATCTTGACACACTATTGAAAATGTCCCTATTAAAATCTTGTTTTTTCCTCTAAAATTCTATCATACAATCAATGTTCATATACTTGCTGCCTAAAACCACTTATTTCAGGCATATATTAATATTATATACAATATTAACAAGAGCCATGTCAACATGGCCATCCCCCGCCGAATGTGTTTTGCTCATTGGAAGAATGTATATGTAGTACAGCAGAATAATTCCATTTAAGAGGTCTTTTGGTAATGAAAACTGATGGCTATAGTGATTACAGATTTAAACCATGTGAATACTGATGGCTGAAAATAACAAAGGGCAATAACTGAAAAATAATGCAGGGTAGGTTATCATTCTTGTGTGCTGCATCCCCCTCCTCAGTAAAATCTATCCACACTATGAAGTTTCAAGTTGATACCTCAAATACTTTTTGAGAAAAAAATTGAATTGAAAAATTAAGTATGAAAATAACAAAGGGCAATAACTCAAAAATCATAAAAGGTAGAGTTATCATTCTTGTGCACTGCACACCTCCTGAGTTAGAGGCTATGCACCTATGAAGTTTTTCATAATGATATCTCAAAAGGCCTTTTTGAGTTATGCTCTGGACAAAAATTAATTTGAAAAATAAAAAAGGGCAATAACTAAACAATTATGCAGGGTAGTGTTATCATTCTTGTGCACTGCACTCTTCCTCAATGAGATCCATCCACCTATGAAGTTTCAAGTTGATACCTCAAATACTTTTTGAGATATGCTCCGGACAAAAATGTCGGACGGAAGGACGGACGGACGGAAGGTCGGACGGAGACTATTTCTATATATTTCTAATAACAAGAGCTGTCAGTAGAACCTGGTGCTTAAATATTTTCAGTGCTAGTCAGATGGTAAAATAAGAGCCTGGATATTGTATCTTTGAGAGTCAGGAATTATTTTAAGTTCACAAACAGTCATAATTTAGTCACAATGTTTGTGATATTTTGGGCCTTGGATAGGAACCTCCAATTATGATCCTGAAGATATATTAAGCTTCAGTGGTTTTGAAGATTTATGATGCTTTCAAAACTTAATCAAGAATTTGCTATGTTCACAAAGGGTCATGTGGTAGATAAAAGCCTTTAAATGTCTATGATTACAAAAACATGTGTGAAGTACAACTAATTTTTTGTGGGTGATGAAATATGCAGTTGTGCAAAAAGTTGCACCTAAAACCACTGTTATGTTGGCACCAGAGTGAGTGGGGTAGCCCCACCATTCTTGGAATAGTCAAGCTTTAAACAAATTAAAAGTATCTTCATAATTCCAACAATGATTCAAACAACTTGACTGTGTACATCACATAAATTATTCTACATTGATTTTATATACAAGAAACTTATTATATATTTAACTTATTCTAACACTCACGTGATTTTGTCACTATAGACAAAGAAGGAAAAAAACTTGGTGTTAAACTGACAATAAAACACGGTTAGGGACTACTTGTATATTGCGCTGTTATGTTTTTCACCCTCGATTGTATAGTTTACAAAGCATTTTAAAGCAACAATAAAATGCATTTTTATTTATATTTCAGTTCTTTAATGTTTTCTTTTCATACAATACCGAAATAATATCATACATACACTAACGCCACATATTTAGATCCATATCAGTTAATAAATACTTTGACAAAACGGCGCCAATCCGTATTCAGCGTAAATGACGTCATCATAAGTAAACAACTCATTCATAAACAAGCTGACGTTATTTCATACGTACAAGAATGATAAATGGGGCACTGATGTAAACACGATACGACGTAAGTTTTTATTGTTGAAAACTTGATAAAATAACGTTTTTTTCTTATTATTTCTTTTGTTTGATAATTTCTATATCTTCGCAACAGTAGGGTGCGAAAATCGAACAGCGTTATACGAAAATCGGCACCGGAAGTTATTTCCGCATGTAAAACAAGTTTAGTGATTTTCCTTATTTTATCTTGTTAGAATCGAAATAACACCGGCCGGAGAGGTGTATATCGGCTATTTAACACCGGTTTTGTCGTTTTGATGCGACAAAATTAACCACTCAGGCCTACGGCCTTCGTGGTCAATTCCTACGCATCAAAACTCCAAACCGGTGTTAAATAGCCGATATAAACCTCTCAGGCCGATGTTATTTCTTAAATATAAGCAATTACTTTTTTGCTGTGTTTCTAATACATTACCATAATATCAAAGTATAATCAATTCAACTTAAATTAATCTTTAATTCTTACCAAAATCATGTGAAACAAAATAATATCAGAAGCTTATACAGATATCAAATCATACTATTTAATATATTAGTATTCACAGTAGCATCTCTGTGTTATAACATAAAACAATCAATGTACCTACCAGTTGAAACAAAGTAGATGCTGCTAAAACACTGACTATCTGTACTGGCTTCAGGAATACATCATCTTTGTATAGAGATCCAAATGCTATTTTCAAAGCTGGATAATACAAATGCATCTTATAAATATAATAATAAAATAAAATTTCAACATTACCTTTCTAAGAAATAATGAGCATTATTATAAAGTATCTGGTGATTTGTATTATTTCACATAAAAAAATATTCGCCATGGAAACATCTTGGCAACACCTATGTATTTAATGAAACAAGTAAGTCATGTAATACTTACAAAAAATATGCAACAAACTCTGGTTACCATTACTACATTATCTGTTATTCAACTTGACCTATTCACACATTGATACATGTACATAATGATTCATGCAATAAACAACTTTCAACAATGTGCACTTTAATATGCCAAAAGATTCCATAAAAAAAAATTTCTTTAATATTTCAAACTTAAAACCTTAACCTGCTGAATTTTTAAACAGACATGTCTACTTTCACAGTCTAGCTATCATTGCTGAACTTGTCAATTGTCAATTTTGGGTATATCAAGATGAAAATTTAAAACTGATCAGCCAACAGTATAGAGCCTGGTGGGTCTGCAGTGAAATGCATCATTCTGTTGGCAAAAGGCTAATTACTTTCAGGCCCGGCAGAGTCAGGGTTATATTAACAGTTAATAAAGTAATTAAGCATTCAGAGTGCAAAAACAATTATACCATACCTTCTTCAGTGATATTTTCATCAAGGATATCAATATTTATTGTGTTCATATCTGACTCTATCCATGAACCGCTGAACATACTGAGAAAATATGGTGACTGAAAAAAGAGAACTATATAATATCATATGAATAAACAGTTAAAACTCAAATTCTGGTAAAATTGAAAATAGTTGACTCATATTGACTATGTTTTTACAATTCAATTTTATTATCAATTATCATAATTTATTAATGATATTTAAGTTAATTACTGATACCTGTTTGAGGTAGAGTTTATGTAACTTCCAGTCACGACCAAGAGCATGTATAGTAATGTCACTGTCTTCTCCTTCAAGGAACAATGTCTGATATATGTATTTTGATGTGACTGCAGGCGTTTCCTGAAAACAGATTAATATATTGTCATAATACAATGTAGCTACAAAGATCAACAAATAAATATTGGAAAAAATATGCATGAAAAATTACTGGCCGTATGAAAGTCAAGTGGAATGTCCTTGAGTTGTGAAGCTTGCATTTAGGAATGGAATGTAGTGGACATATGCCTTTTTAGAATGAAAGTAGAAAGAGAATATAGCCAAAAAAAACTTGATTCATGACCTCTTAATTAGGAGTTCAATGCTTTCCCCCCTGTAATCATGTAAAAAATCAAGACAGCATTTAATTAAGTACAGTGAAATCATTTACATATTATGTAGGTTCAAGGGCATAAAATCTCTTGCTTTGTCAGCAAAAAGCAATTTCATGGGGTCGTAAATCCATGGTATTCAGTTGCCAAGGAAAAAATATATGGACTAAATTTGTGGATTTTAAGTTTCAGTAAAATAATTAATATTCAGCATTTGTGCTACTTAATTGTCAATTTGATGACAGGTGCAGGAAAACATCATCTCCTCGGGTTACACGAAGGGTCTTACTGGCAAAATATATCAAATTGATGTCATATTTATAGGACTATACTACCTCTTAAACATTTATGAGTTGACTATCTATCTTCCGTAAATGTCAAACCCCTCGCAGGAAGTATACATGTCTGCGCGTCAAAAATCCAAAGAAAGTTAAAAAGAGGATAAAACTAGAACGGACACGGATACCCCCACTGACAACATATACGGTATAATTATGGTATATAGTGAAAAAATCAACAAAGGGCCATAATTCTATTAAATTTGGTCGCAGCAAAAATTCCTTCCTTTACTACCATCTACACATTAAGGTTGTTCATCCCTAGAAGTTTAAGCAAAATCTGCCATCCAGTTTAAGAGGAGTTGCGTTGCGTTAACACCACATACTCCTTTGAAAATCTGTCATATTTCGTACTCCGCACGTTCCGCCATCTCATTCTGTCCACCTTTATCCGATTCCGCGCATGCGCGCGACGGGACTTAAAGCTAAACGAAAGTGTCAGATCCTTGTAATATAAATCCGTGGTTGTATAAACACTGAGACAATCAACTAACAGTTTGACACCACTATAGAATCAGTTGTATAAACACTGCACTTAAACATCAACCATATTGGACCATTAAAATATTTTTTGACAACAGGCAATTTAAAAACAGAAACTTCTCCATAAGTTTTATTTATATAATGATGAATTTTTGTCACAAAAAAATGATTATACATGACAAATATTGAAAAAGTCCCAATGCTTCTTATTTAAATGAAAGATGTTTCTGATTTCAATGGCCATAAACATTTTTGACATTTATCGCAAAAGCACTATACTAGCATTAAATAATTTAACAAATTTTTATCCCATGTTTAAAAACAAAAAAACAACAACAACATTTTACTCAAAGTTAATTGCTGTCACAAGAATGTTATGCTTTAAATTAAAATTGCCTATTGAATCCATGATTACAAAAGGTCAAATAGTTAGTTATATAAAAGTGTTATTTTAATCAAAAATATTTTTTATTTAAGTGAAATAAAGTGATAATTGCACATATGGATCAAAGAATTGAAAAACACTTTTTTTCAAAACAACAATAAAGAAGATAAGATAACTGAAATGATAAAACTTACAGTACTGAGTTTTAAGTCATTGACAAAAAAGTAATATCTCCTTTTTAATTCATTTTTTATTAAATTTAAGGTCTATTTTAGTTCAATTCAATTCAATTCAATATTTTAGGTCTATTTTAGTATATCATAAGTATCAATTTCAAAATAATTTTGGTATAAAAAGGGAGTGAAACGTCTTCAAGACATTTCACTCCCATTTGGGAGTGAAACGTCTTGGTGTGAACCGTCTCAATAGTGAAACGTCTGTCTACCATTCATTTTCACATATTTTTTGGAGTTACATCTTTATGTTCTGTTCTGCCAAACGGGCATTTAAACAATAAAACATTTTATTTAGTATCGTTATAGTATCGTCATACCTTTTAGGAGTGTTCAACAATCCAAGGTGTGAAGTGGAAAAGTCATCGATATCATCTCGTTTACGTTTGCGCTCATCTGGAATCGCAGGATCGTGACGAGTCACTGACCGACTCAATAAATTTCCCATAATTTGTATGTTGGACACTTTCAAGTCTTAATCAAACCTTTGAGATGTAATCTGATATAATTATTTCATTTTTCACCAAAACTTTCATTTTGAACTTCCCGGTCGTTTTTAATATCTTGGACTATCTAAATAGATGGGGAAAAGGAAAGTCTTCCGAACAAATAGATACTAATCGACGGTCTCCGGTCTCCAAAAGCGCATTGTCCGGTATATACCGTAACATAGTATTTAGCGTGGTGCTCCAACGTCTTTTTTTTTTAGTAACTATATATACGGTATAACCACATTGACTTTGAAGAGGTGCATGTCCAGGAGTACTTTTGTCCGAGAAATTGCCTCTGACTTAGTAAAAAATTTGAAATTTCCATCTTGTGAAAAGTATTTGACCTGAATCATGAAACTTTACAGAAATATCCATGTTAAATTATAAAGATGTGCGCCTAGGGTTTAATTTATTCATTATTTGTAGAGTTCATTAATGCCTTTGACTTAGTAAAAAATTGCAACTTTAATTCAACCTTGAGAACTTTTCAATATGAGATTTTAAAATCTTAATACATGTATTGGGAAAAATCCAGATAAAGGGTTAAATTAAGGAGTCATGTAGAACCTCGTTTGTCTGTCCTCTGTATATGACAGTGGAGTAATTGTGTGTTGGGGAGGGGGCAGGGCATCTCTAATTCATCTGTAGTCTAATTGATTTATATTCATGTACAAATATCAATTTGAGTGAAGTGGTGTATAGGACAATTTTTTTTTGAAAACATCTTTCTTGTCTAGTGCATGTCTGTGATGGAAAGAAAGTGAGGTCAAGCTGTACTTCTATGTTAATTGAGAGTCCATCCGCCCTTAGGACTCACAAAGCAGATTTCCATGTCGATTACGGACCCGGACATGTAACTAGTCAGTTATTTTTAAGCACAAATTGGTGATAAGTTAGCATAAAGAAGGTCAATGCGCACCTATAAACGTTTAGTAACCTCGGACAATATGAAAATGTATAAGGTAGCCCTGATAAGGGCTGTTGGTGCCAAGCAAAGGGCATGCCTACTCACGCACCTTAAAAAGTACCCTTCCTCGTTGTCCCTGCTTACTTTGTATGGCCAATCCACTCAGCTTGAATCATGACATCAGCAGCTGGTTAGCAGATAAAAATCTCTGTCATTGCTTATTTTCTGCCGATGTCCTGTTTTTTTCCTTTATAACGAGCACGTACCGAGGATTGTGCAGTTAATTAATCACCCACCATATGTCCAAGTCCCTCATAGATTAACTAGACGTATGCACCCCTTATTCTTACGTCAAATACAGATTTCCTCCGACTACCATAAGTACTCTCCCCTATTGCATTGTTCTATGGAATAAAGTCCCAAACAACATTACCACCCCGCCCAACTTAGGTCGGTTTAAACGGGCAGTATTAGGATTGCAATATTATTCTTGCTCCCGGTGTTTTAACTATTTTATCCTTTGCCTTTGTCTTTCACTCGCTATAAATATTTTAACCAGGACTTGAATACAACTCCAGTGTCACCTTAAAGGCATTTTTATATTGCCTTGACTAGTTTACTTTTTTCATCTTTTATACTTACAATCCGACGCCCACCTTATTTCTGTATATAACAATTATTGCGAGTGGTGCTTGCGGTATTCAGAGATAGGAGTGCAAGGGAAGACAAAAAAATACTAATATGCTTTTTATGTTGGACCTGTGTTTTGTCAGTAACTGCACTCGTGTGAAAACAAAAAGAGTGCGATCCATTCATTCTTTCTTGGTTTTGTTGAATAATTTATTAAAGGATAAAAATACCAACGGTGAAATGCTCACAGAAATTAACAACATGGCCATAAAACTTAAATTGGTGATGCTGACCAAAGACTTGAATTCAGTTCGAAAGATAAATAATCTTATATCATTTAAATCCAAAAAAAGGCCAAAACATACTTATCGCTATCACACGACATTTAGGCCTAACAGTAGTATATGCGTCTCTTTAGGGCCACGAATGCGCATGCGCGGCGGCCATTTTGTTTTCTATTGATAGTAACTCATTTGCATAGAAGAAGTGACCTTACTACACATACGCGGCGGCCGTGTTGAATAACAGACGCGCGGCGGCCATTTTGGATTCTTTTTTAAGAATGACATCATCACGTTATAAATAGAAATAATATCTCCCGGAAGTATACCTAGCTGACTTGTATACACGATCTTAGGGCTTGAATCGCGGACATTGAAGGTCAGGTCCTTGGCCCTAGACGGGGAGATAATCACCATTATTATAACTACAGATAACCTTTGTATAAATACGTGCTTAACTACACATATTAATTAATAAAATCATTGTTCGAATAAAGTCTCTCTTAAAAAAATGCAAACTGCTTGATTATATTTTTAATTAGTAATAAAAACTGACTAAATATTAATATATTATTTTTAATGTGTTAGTAATAAGATATAATTGAAAACCGACTGACTAATTGACTCTCTATAATACTATAAATAAGACAATTAATTTATTACTTTAAATTTGTTTCTTTATAAAATTCTTAACATATAACAAAATATATGAAATTTATTTTCAATTTAATTCGATATTATGACTCTGTCAAATAATGTTTCTATATAAAATAATAATATAGACATTAACTGTAAAATAATTTAATAAATATCTGCGTAAAAACTGACTAAATATTAATATATTATTTTTAATGTGTTTTTCTATAAACATTCCAAACAAAAGAAAATACATTAGTAATAAGATATAATTGAAAACCGACTGACTAATTGACTCTCTATAATACTATAAACAAGACAATTAATTTATTACTTTAAATTTGTTTCTTTATAAATTTTTTAACATATAACAAAATATGTGAAATTTATTTGCAATTTAATTCGATATTATGACTGTCAAATAATGTTTCTGTATAAAATAATAATAATAAGGACATTTACTGTAAAATAATTTAATAAATATCTGCGTAAAATACATACATACGATGTTGACTCCTCGGCGGTCCGAATCCAAATGACACAAATCATCAGTGTATTATTTCTAAATGCTCTGATCACGAGTGTAAAGTCGCCACAATGTATGGCGTGTGTTTATTTAGGGACGGAAACACTAACAATGGCCTATTGAAATGTTAAAGTTAATCCCTTTAAAGTAGCCACTCGGTCGAGCGTTTATTTATTTAAGAGCGGATGCATTAACAATGCTCCATTCAACTGTCAAAGTTTATCCGTCTAAAGTAAAAGCGGGTAATTAATTATTTATTGAAGTGTCAGTGTACCACTGGGGCATAATTTTAAACTCATTTTGGAAAAGAAACGTTTTAAAACTGATCATCACAAATGTGCAAAATTATAAAAAAAAACTATTAAAAAAAAACTATTATAACCGAACAAAAATACAATAGAAAAAGCGTTTTTCGTCTTTTGTGCAACATTTTACGATATACATTTTGATTTTTTTCGCATCAAATGATAGACCTGACAGAATGCTTCAAAATAAACCCTAGGTTCTCGATTCGATTTTTAGCCGTTTTCGAGTTATGGCCCATTAGCGGTTTTTAAACCATTTTTTTAAAGTTCATAAAACCCTTAGATTTATATGCCGTTTGAAAGATCTCTGCAAGTAGATACAGAAAATGTATTATTATATAGATCTATCTTTTACTGTTTCTGAGATAGGAGAGTTTCAATATGGCAGACAAAATCACTCATGCGGAAACACGCGCATAACTTTTTCGTTTATGAACGAAACATAGTTATGTTTGGTATCAAATTGAAGGTCTTGACGAGTACATTTTAGTCACGCGATCAAACCGGATGTGAAATTACTCGTGCGTAAAAAAATATATATTTTGGTTACTAGAGCAACCGAATACGATATGATTTTTTAATTGTTGACTACCAATTGAAAGAACAGTTCAATACCTTTAATTTACACACCCCATTGTCGATTCGATTTTTAACTGTTACAGAGATATTACGTAACAGCGATTTTTAAACCCAAATTTTCAAAGTCCACAAAACCCTTCAATTTAGATACAATTAAAAAGATTTCAATCAGTAGATTCAGAAAATGCTTAGGTTTATGGGTCTATCATTATGTGTTACTGAAATATTACACATATAGACTTAGTGTATTTTAACCACCAATGTTAGATAAAGCGTTATTGCACTAAATTGTTTGAAAATATTCAAATGAGTGTGGCGTCCTTATTTATGGGTCGATTTTATCCATTTTGGTATCAAATTAAAGGTATTCAAGAGTACTTTCAGACGCTGTTGATAGTAAAGTTCATACTGGAAGTCAAAATTACTCATGCGTAAAAATATATATATTTTTATATTGAACTTACTATAATTCACTTATGCATGAATCGATTTCAATAATTTTCTATTCATAGGTCATGAAGTCATAAGCTAAAAATAACTTGCAATCAAATGCTTGAATAAACTGACCAATCAGGAGAAACCTTCATGTATAAAGAAATACAGAATCTAAGATTTTTCTCATTCTGTCTTTAGAATTTTAACCCTCAAGATGGACTATGATGATTTCGGGACTGAATATACACCTACAGACTTGTGTCAAGTCGACCAAATGGAACAAGCATTTATGACATTAAGCTCAAAAACTACTATGGAACTTAATACTCGGGCAGAACTGAAAAGTTACTTTTTAAATAACGCGGTACCTAGTTCATTGTCAATGTTGGCAATAAGTATGGGTGTTCCTTTTCGGGTGTATGACTGTATTGAGGTCGATTTTCAACGCAAGTGTTTACATAGAATGAATGAACTGTTTAATGTATGGTACCCACGCGCAAAAGAAATAGGACAGAAGAATGGATTGTTACCTGTACATATACTGATTCATGTAAAGTATACACACCCTCATTATATGCCCGAAAGGGCATATTATGTTATACCCCCTGGCGTCCGTCTGTCTGTCTGTCTGTCTGTCCGTCCGTACGTCCGTCCGTCCGTCCGTCCGTCCGTTAGCAATTTGGTTTCCGGAGCATAACTTAAGTTCCATTTGGCCCACAATGTTCAAACTTCATAGGATGATTGCCCATATTGGGTAGAAGAC